GGCAAGTAAAACAAAAATAGTTGGCTCCCTGGGAAAACTGTACTGAAAACTGGAATGCTACACTAGTAACTTTTATGGGTAAAGTTTACAATCTGACATAACGGATAAAAATAATACTACAAAGTCATCAATGTAGTGTAGGGTAGTATAATAATGCTGGACTAGGACTCAGGAGATCGGGGTTAAAATCCTCGCTCAGCCATGGAAACTCATTGAAAGGCGGTACTAGTAAAAACACGCCTTAGATACTTTACGTGCCTTGTCATAAGTAAGAATCGACATAATGTACACTACAACATCCTAGACCTTTTGGAACAGAAATGTATGAAGCCTATATGTAACATTTGTATTTGCATGTAATATTCACCAATGCTCTTGAGCTTCACACAAACCTATATGATGCGTTTGGCTTCAGTACATGCCTGGAAGTGCAGACGTGGGAAGAATGGGGACAAGAGTACCATTTTGGCTTCTTTAAATACTATCATAACCCAGTGAGGGAGCCAGATACATAAATTCTGTCTGTACAGTCTGATGCTTTGAAAAATCCAGGGCCTAGTTTGAGTACAGATACACATGTAAGCTCTGTGTAAGCCTGAATGTACAGAGGTAGATGTGATCAGTGGGCATGATCACATGTCCTGGGAAAGTTACTATTTGTGTCATGATTAACGTTACTCACATAAGGTAAAATAGAAAAGAGAAACAGAATGTGGAATTAACTTTATAAGATGCATTTCTTCAGAAGAGTCCAAGGAAGCTAACACCACTCAATTAAGAACAATGAGGCTACACAGCCACATTTCAAAGAAATTTCAACAAATTATAATTTAAGTCCCATATTTGAAAACCTCTGTTAAATATTCCTAATGCCTGTTCCTGGATGTATTTTCCTACTCTTATCAATAATTAACCAAAGTACGATTTTCAGGCATTTCAAATGGAGCTGCAGAACAAGAACAAATAACGTTTTCCTACAGCATAGTTCACTTCATCTCGTCCAAACTGCAAGGAGAAAAAAAAATATCTGCTACTCACCAAATGGCTCCCAGCCGCAGTGTGACTCATTAGATAACCTCTTAATAGGCTGAATCTGGATGGCATGTTCTTTGTCAATAACGTGTGAGGTAGTACAGTGCTTATGCAGTTCTCCCTAAATTAGATTTCAAAATCTAATTATTACTGTATGACTGGTACAGGTTTTTTTTTACTGATTTTAATAATACTGCTGGATAGCTCAGTGGTTTAGGTCTTTGGCTGCAGAGCCAGAGGTTGGGAGTTCGATTTCACACTGTGCCTCTTTGACAGCTGTATAACATTTTGAACAGTCTGAATATATAAGACACTTTGGAATGTACTTAAAAACCCCTCAAATACATACTTTTTTTTTAAACAGACTGCAAACTACAGTGGTATGATACAGAAGGTGTGCATTTTTGTACTTTATAAAAGGCAGGCTAAGAGAAGACATCTTCTTTTAGAAGTCAACTGGATAACCCACAGTTTTCTGGCAGCACAGTTTTCTCTTAAAATAGATCCTTGTTCTGGGACCGCCTTGTCTGAGAACCAAAGAGTGAGGCTTTCCCACTCCTGGTTGCCATCATGCCACTAAATTTTGCTACTGTCAGTGAGAGAACAAGTGAGGACCCAGGTGTGCAAAACTCAGACCTTCCTACGTTGCCTATTCCTAGAAGAATTTTCAAATGAAGAGTGCCAGATATGAGTGATCCACTTATAGGTAATACCTGTGCCCACAGCAAATAAGATATCCCCGTTTCATAGGAAATCAGCAGTTGTGGTGCAGTTGGTTAAACTGCAGTACTGCAGTCAAGACTTTGTTCAGGACCCCCGCTCAGTCCTGATGGGTTCAGGTAGCCATTTGAGGCTGACCCAACTTTTTATCCTTGTGGGGGTGGGGCAGTGAGTCACCTGCATAATTAAAAACTGTAAACCTTCCAAAGAGTGCTTTAAGTGCTATGAAGCAGTATATAAGCAGCACACTTTGCTTTTTAAAAAAACCTTTTTTTTTCTTGTCGAAAGGAAAGAAAATGTGGGCTGAACTCATTATTACTCCCTTCTCTTCCACAGTAATCCAAATAGGAGTAATCGTTAACTCTCACAGAAATCAAGATGATTTGCAATCAGCTTATGCATTTGACTTTGATGGCAACTGAGTGCATTTTCTAAAGATGGACTGGGGCTAGAGTATTGGGTAGCATTTATAGTGTTTTATGTTTCCACAAGCGAGTCTTATTTTTACGGTGGTCATAGTAATCCTGATATTTCTGTTTCCTAAGTGGACTGACTGACATTGAACTGAACGCATTGAGTGACCAATATGCTTAAGACAAGTGGTACAGAAATACAGTACAGTGGTGCCTCACATAGCGATCGCTCCGTTTAACGAAGAAATCGCTTTGCGACGCTGTTTTTGTGATCACAAAAGTGATCGCTTTGCGATGTTCCCTATGGGGAAAATTCGCTTTGTGATGATCGCTGAGCGAGGCACCACTGTATTGCATTGGTTAAATGGATGTATATTATTGTCCAGGACCTTAACACTGGATATTTTGGTGTGTGTTTGTTCCTCTGTAGCATTGATTGTTGGTACTAAAACTACTCCATAGAACTGGTAATTTAGGAGACATTAATTTATTAAATACCTTTCTTTTCTCCCAATAGAGGAACCCAGTGTATCATAATGTTTAAAAAAAACCACAGTTGAAACAGTTAAAAATACAATGAAGAAAACCATAGACTTTTCTTTCATCTCTTCCTTTAATATGTAGTAAACAGGTAACATTTTGTTACTTTTGTTTAATGAATGAAGAAAAACTGCAGAAACCTACACTACCTGGTACAGTCATTAGAAACAGACTTTTGGGCCCTCAAAAGTTATTGTGCTACAACGTCCATCATCACCAGCATGACAAGTGGCCAGGAACGACAAGAATTATAGTCCCAACAAATATGGGGACCAAAACTGGTTAGAAAGTTGGACTAGAAGTAAGGAGCCCTTGACCTTACCCAGCCAGGAAGATGTACAGTAGCTGATTTCTTAAAACCAGCCTTCTACATAAACACTGTGCAAAGGGTGGAAGAATGAACTATGTAATCTCATGCTGAGCTCCTTAAAGGATGAGAGGGGTGTTTATATAAATAATAGAACAGAGGAAGTGAGTGACTGAATAAAGGGGATAGGACAGGAATTCGATTTCATGAGATGTGGAGTTGTTCACCCCTGGCTGAAATTCTAGCCACAACATACCATTGCAGTCTTAGTGGTAGCTGGACATAATTAGACTGGTAAGTAAAATTGGAGGTGTGTCTTAACTGGAACCAAAAACATTGCATCTTTTTCCTTGCCTTTGCATACATAAGTCTTTATATGGACGTTTTTATAATTGTGTATATACTGGCAATGAAATATGTAGACATTCATACAAATTGAAGGTCCAGTAGAACTTCAGTCATATATCAGTCCATAATATATACTGTGTTTTCCCAAAAATAAGACAGGGTCTTACATTAATCTTTGCTCCAAAAACACATTAGGGCTTATTTTCAGGGGATGTTTTAATTTTTTTAATGTACAACAATCTACATTTATTCAAAAACAACCATGTCATCTTCTTCTGGTTGATGCACAATGCTGCACAATAATGGAGGGTGGAGTTTCACTTAAGTGGGGCATATTTTGGGGGTGGGGCTTTTTTGACAAGCATCCTGAAAATCATTTTAGGGCTTATTTTCAGGGTAGGACTTATTTTCGGGGAAAACAGGGTAGGCTTCTGTACTTTTATTACTGCACGGCAGGTATGGTGTTATTACATTCCATTGTATATAACAATAAAACTTTTATAAAACATAAAAATGTACTTCCTTGTTTGAGCTCAACAGGATGCCAGGAAGTCATTTCCTTGTTACTTACCTTAACGATACTGATGGGCTTCCGTGACAAGTGGAAACTAACATACAGTGTAAAAGTCAAGACAAAGGTGAAAGCTCTGTACCTGTAACAGAACAAACATTCCATGTTTTGCAGCTCTTTTATGTGCCAGAAGTATTTTTCCAATCATTTTAGATCTGTTCAATTGTTACGTCACTTTTCTCACTTATCTGCATTCTACGTGATGTTAAGACTACTCAAACAAGAGTATAAGATTAAATAAACTAGATCCTGTATTGCACAATCCTTTACAAATGTTCTGCCAATAAAAAGGCCATTGAAATTATTTGCTATATGGAAATACCACGTTTCCCCAAAAATCACACAGGGTCTTATATTTTTACTCCAAAAATGCATTAGGGCTTAATGCATTAGGGGATATTTTATTTTGTTCATGTACAACAATCTGTGTTTACTCAAATACAGTCATGTCATCTTCTTCTGGTTGCTGCAGAATGGTGGAGGGCGAGCTTTCACTTGTGGGGCTTATTTTGAGGGTAGGGCTTATAGGGCTTATTGGGGGGGTAGGGCTTATATTACAAGCATCCTGAAAAATCGTATTAGGGCTTACAGTGGTACCTCACTAGACAATGACCTTGTAAAACGATGAATCTGCATGATGATGAGGTTTTGCGATCACTATAGCGATTCGCAAAACAGTGATTCCAATGGGGGATTTTCGCTGGACAATTTGGTCCGTACTTCGTGGACCGTTTTTTTTTGCAAGACGACGATTTTTACAGCTGATCGGCAGCTTCGCAAAATGGCTTTCCTGTGTTTTCGGGACCCATGCTTCGCAGGACAGCCATTTTAACAGCTGATCGGCACTCGCAAAATGGCTTCCCTATGGGCAATCTTCACAGGACGACGATGTATTTTCCCCATTGGAACACATTAAATGGGTTTTAATGTATTCCAATGGGGAAATGGTTTTCGCATGACGATTTCGCTAAACAGCTATTTCAATGGGATGGATGTATTATCATCGTCATGCGGGACACCACTGTATTTTTAGGTTAGGTCTTATTTTCAGGGAAACAGGGTAACTTTGTTATCATGTCTAAAAGATACAATAAAGAAGGATATTTACCCTTATGTAGGGACCAATGTTCAAACCTGCCAACTTGATTCTATCCCTAAAACAAAACAACTAAGCACTTGCAAGCTTCAAGAATAACTGTGTTCCACCTCAAAAGCTGTATGACAGACACCACTCTGAACAGAAACCTAGTTCATATCTAAATGCATATTTGATTAAGAGGAAGTCCAAATCAGATCAGATCAAATTCATAAAAGACTAAGGGGGGCAAATGTGTGGGTGGCCCTCCAAATGCTGTTGGATTACAATACCCATTGTACTATGCAGCCTAGCTGCAATCCTGAGGTGGCTACACATTTCTCACCTGTTGATAGACTGTAACTTACCACTGGTCTCTAGTAAATGAAGTGAGGAGATGAATCCCAGGTGGAAGGTTAGCCATTTACTCAACTACCAGGTTGACAGTTTGGTTATTCAGGGGTTTCAGATACTTGTTCCCAATTTTCAGTACAACAAAGTGTCACACTGACCACAGTTCTTTATGTTTCTTCCTTGATGTTATCAACCATTGCTTCGAGTGGCTAATTCTTCTCCTGCGTGCACAGAAAGAGTGTGTAAAAGTTACTCATCATTTAGAGACATTTCTCTAGTAATTATAATAATCATAAGCTGTCAAGTCAATTCTGACTGATGGTGACCTTTTTCAGGGTTTTCCTGAAAAACAGAAATGGTTCACCATTCCCTTCTTCCATGTGCGCCCTGAGACTGTGCAGCTTGCCTAAGGAAAGGACACACAGGCTAGTTCTACTCACAGGAGGCACAGTGGGGAACTGAACTCCCAAACTCCGGCTCTACAGCATGATACCTACACCACTGAGCTATCCAGACAGCCAATAACTTCATGCTGTCAAGTCAATTCTGACTTATGGTGACCCTTTCCAGGGTTTTCTAGACAAAGAATACACAAGATGTGGTTGACCATTCCGTCCTTCTGTTGACACCCTGGGACTATCCAGCTTATTCCAGGCTACATAGGCTGGCTCTTCTCCCAGGAGTCACAGAGAGGAACTGAATTCTCAACCTCTGGCTTCATAGCCAGATATCTAAACGACTGAGCTATCCAGCCAGCTGTAGTAACTTTATGAGAACATGTCCTACAGAAATAAAATATGACACAATAATTTTAATACAAATTCCTAGACAGTGAAATGTTGTTTGTAGGTAATGAAGATATTTCCAGTTTTTCCTTTAGTATATAGTCCACCAAAACACAGCATCCTCAGGCTTAATAGTGAGTCCACCAAACTGCCTTTGAAGCAATAGCTGTGGGCTATAAACCTGTTGCTGTTCTCCAGAAATGTCAACTTATATACACTTGCAAAATATACATTGTTCCAAAATACTCTAAATTAATAACAAAATATCACAGTGTTGATTTGGTGGCAGAAATGTCAAGACATGTTTTTTTCAAGTTGGTATTTTTTTTTATTTGTTCATTTTCAGCTAGTACATTAACCCTTGGTTGACTGTACATCATAACATGGAAATGGTAATTGGGGAAAAGACACAACAGTAGGTTTCTGTTATACTTCTTGAGACTCTGTGGTATACTAGACAGAGTAGGATACAGCAAACATAGGTTCAAATCCCTGTTTGGCCATTGAATTTCACAAGGGGTGGTAATGGTTTAACGACCTCCTAAATATCTCTCATATCTTGAAAACCCTATTAAGTGAGTGTTCTACTTTACTGCTTTGAATGTGTTTCGGTGTTGCTTTTTTAAACCATTTTTAGTGTGGTATGTGTTGATGATCCTTTCAGTACTGCATTCTCACTGTTGTTAGCTTTACAAGCTGTCTTTTAATGTTGTGAATTGCCTTGGGTCCTTTTGTAAGGAGAAAGGAGGGATAAAAATATAATAAAATAAATAAGATCCCTATAACATGGATGCAATTTGACAGCATGCCATAAAGAACACACCTGTCTTGGCATGATATAGCTGTTATGTGCATCAAGTCAGGACTAACTTATAGTGACCCTAATAGGGCTTTTAAAGAAAACACCTGTCTTGGCATGATATTGCTGTTGTTATATGGATCAAGTCAGGACTGACTTATAGTGACCCTAATAGGGCTTTCAAGGTAAGTGAGATATTTAAGGAGTGGTTTTATCAGTTCTACTATCCTAGTAAGTTTCCATGATTGTTTGGAGATTCAAACCCTGTTCTCCAGGGTCCTAACTAGAGATGGGAGTTTGCGGTGGATCAGCCACTCTTCGACTTGGCAGAGAGGCTCATCATCCCACCGCCTGCCAGGAGTGGCTAATCCACCATGAGCTCCGGAGCAATAGGGAGCGCGGAGCCCATAGCAGCAGCAGAATGGTGAGTGGACAGTCTGGCCCCTGGGGGACGGACCCTTGTTATCTCCACAAGTGGGGGTATTCATATTTGTCCTAGCCCATCACTCTATGCACTGTACCATGCTAAGTATTCTTTTGGCATGATACCTGTGCCCATAATAGCTGAGAAGCTGGCAGAAATTCAACAAGTTTAAATTTCCCAGTCAGGCAGTGGGTGATTAGAGACGTTTCCTCTGCTACATGTTTCCCCATCTGTAGCCAGTACAGATAAGGGAACCTTGTCCAAAAAAGAGGTGGTGACCCCAGAACAAAATGGCTTTACTACAAAAATCCACTTCAGTGCCTACTGTGTGCTTCTTTCTTCATTTAATAACATTATTTGCAGCTTGTAAAATAATAATAGAAAAACTGAACAACACAGGAAGAACAAGCCAGTGAAAGACCAAGTAATTTGATTGACTTTAAAAGTTAATTCTTCCCCAGAAGCAGGCCACAGGACTGGACAATTTCCTTTACAATAATCAGAAGAGCAGGTAACAGAGAAGCTACAATTTATCAGAAAATCCATCTTCCACCCAACCAATTTTTGACCTTTTATGATAAGATGTTGTTGTTTAGTCGAGTCCGACTCTTCGTGACCCCATGGACCAGAGCACACCAGGCCCTCCTGTCTTCCACTGCCTCCTGGAGCTGGGTCAAATTTATTCTGGTAGCTTTGATGACACTATCCAACCATCTCATCCTCTGTTGTCTCCTTCTCCTCTTGCCCTCACCCTTTCCCAACCTCAGAGTCTTTTCTAGGGAGTCTTCTCTTCTCATGAGATGGCCAAAGTATTGGAGCCTCAGCTTCAGGATCTGTCCTTCCAGTGAGCGCTCAGGGTTGATTTCCTTTAGAATGGATAGGTTTGTTCTCCTTGCAGTCCAGGGGACTCTCAAGAGTCTCTTCCAGTACCACAATTCGAAAGCATCAATTCTTTGGCGGTCAGCCTTCTTTATGGTCCACCTCTCATTTCCATACATCACTACAGGAAAAACCATAGCTTTGACTATGCGGACCTTTGTCGGCAAGGTAATGTCTCTGCTTTTTAAGATGCTGTTGAAGTTTCTCATCGCTTTCCTCCCAAGAAGCAGGCGTCTTTTAATTTCGTGGCTGCTGTCACCATCAGCAGCGATCATGATAAGATAGTATACTATGAATTTCATATGTTTCATGTACAAAGCAAGTTGATTCCTGGTTCCTTTACATCGTTGTTCAGCAGAAAAATTAGGAACCAACTTTGCCCTTGGATCTCTGACCAAAGTTTTGAAAAACCAATATGTAGTTGTTAACTAAATTGAGTTTCTTAGAGACAAATTAAAAGGTATCCATAGAATCACAGATCATAGAATAATGAGGCTGAAAGTCCAACCCCCTGCTCAATGCAAGGATACAAATGAAAGGCTATCTGCCAGATGGTTGTCTAAATTTCTCTTATTCAGCTTGTGATCTACAACAATTCCAAAATCCTTACCGTTTGTAATATTGCTTAGCCAAATATCCCTCCTCTTGTAACTGTGTTTGATTTCTTTTTCTGGTTTTCAGCACAGGAACTTTGTTGTAGGCTAGGGTGTAAGATTAGATGAAATTCTGGAAAACTCTTCTATTCTTTTCAGTGTGCAGAAACTACACAGTATCAGAATCAGAAAAATAATCAGAATCAGAAAAATCTAATAATTCTAATGACGCCTGCAAATATTTCCAATATTTGAGACTTAACTAGTGATGATTTATTTCTGAATTGGAAATAAATCTACAGAAAGTATGGACTCACTTCTAAATAAGATTAAGTTATGATGTAATTTCAAGTTTGGTCTCAAAACTTGCACCTTTCTTGTTAAAACCTGTCATGATAAAAACATGTAACTGAAGAAAGATAACAAATGAAGCAGTGGGACTGTAGGATGTGGGAAACATATTCTAGAATACAGTAGTTGTGCTGATGCTGAGATCTCCAAATCCATTTATCAGAGGAAGGAGAAATTAAGGGGGAAAACTAGTGTTAAAACCAACATTTAATTTTAGCATAAATACATCAGTATACACTCTACCACCTGAAAAAGAGATGTTGTGTTGTTCTTTGCTGCCAAACTGCTTCCAGCTGATAGCAACACAATGAATAAGTTACCTCAAAAAGTTCTTAAAAGTCCTGCTGAAGTCTTGTAAACTCAAAGCCATGGCTTCCTGTAGTTCAGCAGTTCCAACTTTGGGTCCCCAGATGTTCCTGGACTAAAACTCTCAGAAGCCTTCACCACTAACTGTCCTGGCCAGGATTTCTGGGACTTGTAGTCCAAGAACATTTGGAGAACAAAAGTTGGGAACTACTGCTGTAGTAGCTGAAATTAGAGATGTATTAACTCACGTCTAGGCCCACTTCAGCCTTTTACCCCACTACAGCTGATAGCCTGGCCATGGTACAATAGGTACCAGAACTGCAGTATATAGCCCTATATCCATTTTGAGGGCATCTTGAAGAACTCTATTAACATAGGAGCATTTGAGCACATGCAATCAAGGTAAAAAAGAAACATGATTCCCCCCCCAGTCCCTGCAGGGCCCTTAGGCTTCAGCTTAGTTAGCCTTATGGATAATACAGCCTTGGCTGAAATCTTGTAGTAAGTCACAACTAAAGTAAGTCCACTGAATCAATGGAACTTACCAAGGAATTGATTCACGAAAACCCCACTGATTCAACAGGCCTACTCTGGTTGTGACTTACTGCTGGATTTCAGTCATTGACCCAATCCATCTCATATTTGGCCTTCCCCACCACCATCGCTGCCCCCAACTTTTCCATACCTTGTATCAAAATGTACTCTACAGTTCTTATTGATTTGGAAGCAAAGTGGCACAAACACCTCTTTATATGATTCACGAAAACCCCACTGATTCAACTGGCCTACTTTGGTTGTGACTTACTGCTGGATTTCAGTCATTGACCCAATCCATCTCATATTTGGCCTTCCCCACCACCATCGCTGCCCCCAACTTTTCCATACCTTGTATCAAAATGTACTCTACAGTTCTTATTGATTTGGAAGCAAAGTGGCACAAACACCTCTTTATCAAGTCCTTAAAAAGAGAAAGAACTGCACACCACTCAATCTCAAGCACAAATAACAGTTCTTCCTAAAGGTAGTGTACATACAGAGCAGCTGTGTGAACTGGCAGATTAGTAATCTACAAACAGGATGTGTGTGTATACAGCCTCTCAACTTCTACCTTCAGCTTACCGTAACTTTGTCACATTTATTACTACTTAGCCCAGGTGTTGATTTGGACTATCAACATCAGTGAAACATATCTAAAAAAAACAGCTTTCCTCATTCAACCCAGGACTTCACCAGGGTAATGTAAAAGGAAACAAAGTTTTGACTTCACTAGGGTAATGTAAAAGGAAACAAAGTTTTAAAGGCATGGGAAAATAAAAATCTTTCGCCTGTCACTAATATGGCAGCAGTGAAGGTACCAGATGAGTTCGCCTGTTGAGGTGTAATTTCACAAAGATGGAATTAACATACCTGCATAATAACACACAGAGTTTTAAAAAGGCTTTCTTTTGAATGACCCAACAGACAAAACCAAGCAACCATGTCTATAAAACAATCTGATAATGGGGATCTAACTCAAAATCCAGCCAGGATCAGCCATGAGGGGCTTGTTCCCAGGTTAAGGACTGTAAAGTTAGAAGATGAAATGTGTTAAGATGTGCCCTAAAAGAGTGGTTGTCAACCTCAGGTCCCCAGATGCAGCTGGGTGTCACCCTCACCCAGGAACACCAGCCAGGATGGCCAAGGGCCGGGATGCTGGGAGCCGACATCCAGAGCATCGAGAGCCCATGTATCTGGGTCGGTAAGAGAGAAACGAAGCAAAACAAACGCATCCAAATCGCCCCCGCAGGAAGGATGCAAGCCTTCCCCATCCCTCGCTTTATATGCGAAGCAGCAGCAATAGCAGTAGAGGGACTCCCGCTCGTTCTGCCCAGGCGCCATCGGCTCAGACCGTTGTTGCCAGGCCGCCCCGCGGGGCAGCAGGTGCGCGGCGGGAGGCAGGCGAGAAGAGGCAGAGCGCAGGCTTGGCCCGGGGAGGAGGAGGACGCTCCCGCCGAACCGAACTCTCTGCCCATCGCCGGGAACCCTTCCCGAAGTTCCCGCCGCTGCCTCCGGCCTCGCCCGCCTGCTCCTGCTTGGCAAAGCCGAGCTCTCGGGAGCAGAGGAGAAGCCCGGAGCGAGTCCTACCTGAAGGGATGATGATGCCGCTGCTGCTGCTGCCGCCGCTCCCGACAATCAACGACGACGACAGCGGCGGCCCGCCGGCGGCAGCGCCTCACCTCTCCGCGC